AACTAGAGCCCTAAATGAGCTGCGCTTAGAGTATCGACCCTCCGTTCTCCAACATTGATGTGGGCGCCGCCATTTTGGCTCGTATGTAGAGCAGACGCAACTGCCGATCGTCATCATTTAAAAGTGCGACTTCCTCAGCATTAGATTCGGTGCTAGGAGGCTCATGTAATATTGCTTTGCTTTGTCGCGAACTGTTTAAACATCTGTGGAGGACGGAAAAGCATTTCCTCTGATTTTAGATAAAGCTTGAGATAACTGGCAACCATGAATTTAAGCCACAATATGGCCAAGTGTCGTTACTCTGAAGCCTAGCTAATTTAGTGGCACTAGCGGGAACAATGAGGAAGAAATAGGCGTCAAAAGGAAGTGCTTCGTGGAACCCACGGGGCTCACGTCATGGCCCCTCCCGGTATTACAAGCTCCTTGAACAAGGGCATGAATAGTATCATTAAATAAGCCACGCTTCAGAGTAACGAAACTTGGCCATATTGTGGATTAAAATCGTGGTTGCCAGTTATCTGAAGCTTTATCTGAAACCACAAGAAACGCTTTTCCGTCCTCCACAAATGTGTAGACAGTCCGCGACAGAGCAGAGCAATATTGCATCAGCTTCCTAACACAGGATCTAATGCTGAGGATGTCGCACTTTTGAATCATGACGATCGGCAGTTGCGTCTGCTCTACACAAGCACCAAAATGGTGGCGCCCACAACAATGTTGGGGAACGAAGTGCCGATACTCTAAGCGCAGCTCATTTAGTGAACTCCGGTGTATTCTTTTCTTTTTCTTTTTTATTGTTCATTGATTTCAGTCATGTCGAAAAATGAACACATTATATCACACTACGCTTGTGTAATTCTTTTTCTTAAATTTATTAACCTGACCCACTACTTAAACCATTCATTTGTCGATAGTAAATCTTTCAATATATTTTATGAATGTGAAGGTAAAAAGACACGGACATTGATGATGATACAGACGCCAACGCCGCCCTCGACGATTTCCCGAACATTAGAAATCAGCAGTTTTGTCTGCCATCCGGCAGGTAGCGCAACAAAACACCCAACCCATACAGTTTTTTTTTTAATTAGCTAAGCTCTACACCTATCAAGAAACCAAACCAAGATCATTGTGAAAATGTAAGACATCGCAGTGTGTATCTATTCCATACAATAAATGTTATTAGATGCCAATAAATCTGTTTGATGTCCATAAGAGAAATGCGTCAAAAACACGTAAGTTTGAAGGGTTCCTGGAACGTTATGACTTTGAAAAAAAAAAAAAAAAAAAAAGCCATCATCCACCTCTTGGTTAACGGTTGTAGTTCTAAATGTTATAAAATATTTTATCATAGTTTAATTATTTCCTAAGCGGCATTTGAAGCACCGTGACTCGAGGCACAAACAATTGCTATATTTGATATAGAATATCTAAACAAAATATTTTTACACAACATTAAATCCTTCTCTGCCTATTACCAATTATAAGCACTACATCTGTAGCTAATTTCATTGCCCTGGCGCATGTCATTAAAAACATATTTGTGCTGAAAAATTTCAATTTTAGGGCAATATTTGGAGAGATGAACAAAACAAAGTAGTGCAAATACCCAAAAAGTATATCGTTACATTCTGCTCCAACATTATCTTAAAAAAACTGCTCCATTGAAACCGTGTTTTTTTTAATAGATCGTTCATGAAATATAAACCAGCGGCGCAAGTGAATGTCCGCGCCATCATATTCGGAACGCAACAAATGCGCATGAACAATATAAACCAATACATACATAATATCAAATGAAAGAGGATTGCATTGCCTTTCCAACAACATCAATCCCTCGAAACAGTATTCAAAAGAAGAGGAGTAATGACCTGCCAAGAACAAGAAGTACCTAAACTGCCATATTCAGTGGAACCGTGGCCTTAAGGGCTTACTAACACGAAGGCCTGGAAAACGGCATTTAACAAAAAGGAAGGCTGCCGTGCAGGTAAAATAATTTGGTGAGTGTTTTTACTTTGCAATTAGGGAACGCGATTGTCAAAATGGTCACATCAACAGTCGTGAACTTTCAGACGGTTGTTGAGATTAGAACTTCCGAGAGAGCAGTCCAAATTACTGCTAGTGAAATAAAATGAAATGCACCACCCGTTTATAAAAGTTAATAAAAATCGTCGACGAAAGTGAGCGATTAAAAAATCGAAGTATGAAAAGCGCTCTGATCATGATTGTTGATGCTTGAACTTGAAAAAAGCCGCTGCTAGACACCCGTATTATTAAAAAAAAAAAAAAAAAAAAAAATTCCCAGGACGTTCTGGAGAATGAAGCGATCACATAGAAGGCGGCAGAGGCAAACAAATTGCGTTGAAACATAATTAGTATATCGATCGTAACGAAGGCTGATCGTGTCGGTGTCGCAGTTTTTATAAAGACACCTCGTGGTACTGCCGGTGCCACGACCTCCTCTATACTTACGGCGACGTCACACGCGAGTACCACAGAGCGTACCGCCTAGATACTCTACTGGTTTGTATTCCTGCCGCGAGGTGCACCGCCACGTCGACGTCGACAGGCACAGATGGTATCCCAATCAAGCTGGTGAAGAATTTGAGTCCTAAATCTAAGGCAAAACTAAGGGAGGTAGTGAGTACCATGATAAAAAAATGAAATATTCCAGATGAATGGAGGCTTAGTAGGATGAGTATGATATATAAGGGAAAGGGAGATAAGTCTGATATTAGGAATTATCGTCCCATAACCGTGACACCGGTTATTTACAGGTTGGTTATGCAGATTATAAAGAACAGACTGGAGGGAATGGGTAGATTGCGAGGGCATACTGGGCGAGTTACAGAACGGGTTTCGGAAACAAAGAAGGTTGGAGGACAATTTATTTTCTCTAACACTGTGTATAGAAATAGCGCAAAAAGAAAACAGACAGCTCTGGCTGGCATTTCTGGATATCAAGGGTGCCTATGACAATGTAAACCAAAGGAACCTGTGGGACATAATGGAGAGCTTAAACCTAGATGAAGGACTAACAGCACTATTAAGGAACATTTACAAAGATGACAAGTGATTATAACATGGGAAGGAAAGGCGACAGGGAAAATAGAGATAAGACGAGGCCTTAGGCAGGGGCGCGTGCCCGTTATCGCCTTTGCTGTTTATGTTGTATCTGAGAGGATTGGAGGATAGACTAGAGAAAGAGTGGGCTTGGATTCGACCTTTCTTACAGTAAGCTAGGCCAAAAAATTCAGCTATCTTTACCGGGATTGATGTATGTGGATGATATCGTACTAATGGCTAACAACAGGACAGAGTTGCAGGAATTAATGAGCATCTGTGGTAGGAAAGGAGAGGAATTAGGTTTAGAATTCAGTAGCGAAAAATCAGCAGTCATGATTTTTAACGAGGATAAAGTTGAGAGGCTGAAGATACAGAATATTACAGTTGAGAGAGCTAGTAAATACAAGTATCTAGGAGTATGGATATGTGATGGTGCAGAATATCTCAGTGAGCATGAAAACTATATAATAGGTAAGGGCAACAGAAATGCAGCTGTAATGAAAAATAGAGCACTTTGGAATTACAACAGGTTTGGATTTGGAAAGGGGTCATGGTGCCTGGCTTGACTTTTGGAAACGCAGTGCTATGCATGAAATCCGAAGTGCATGCGAGATTAGAAATAAAACAGCGCGGAGTAGGTAGACTGGCTCTGGGGGCACATTGCAAAACGCCAAACAAGGGAGTACAAGGAAACATGGGATGGGCGTCATTTGAGAGCAGGGAGGTGGTGAGCAAGATAGAATTTGAGGATAGGTTGAGGCAAATGAATGGGGAGCAATGGGCACGAAAGGTTTTCAGCTATTTATACATGAGGAGTGCAGACACAAAGTGGAGACAGCGCACTAGGAAATTAAGAGGAAAGTTTTTGGGCTATAGCGAATATACGGAAGAGCAAGTCTCAGTTAAGAAGCAAGTTAAGGCCACAGAAAGAGATCGGTGGCTAGAGGGAATGCAGACAAAGACGGCCCTGGAAAGCTATAGATTAAACAAAACATTTATTGCCAAAGAAAGCATTTATGACAGTTCTAGGGGAAGCTCATTGTTGTTTGAGGCGAGGACGGGTGTTCTGCGAACCAGAACATACAGAGTGAAGTACCAGGAAATGAATACAGTGTGCACTGCTTGTGGAGAGGAGGACGAGAAGGCTGAGCACTTGATACTCTACTGTAAAAGGCTTCACCCTATGCCTACCGAAGACAACATAGATTTAATAAAGTCAGTAGGTTTTAGAGACAGCGAAGGGAGAGTGGATTTCAAGACGGTAGAGATTCTTAAGCAAAGATTAAGTGAATGGTGGCAGAAATCGAGAGAAAACTAGGTATTTTCTTATTCACTGATGGCAAGGGGGTTTCATAGCCTCACTTTCTTTGCACTGCGGAGTGAATATAGTTTTCACATTTAAATATTCTAAGCTTAAATGGTAAAACAAAATGACTAGGTGGCGTAAGCTACCGCCCGATCCAAAGGGCTCAGCCGTATTCATCCATCCATCCATCCATGCCATCATTAACTGATGGCAAGGGGGTTTTATAGTCGCACTTTCTTTGCAGTGCGGAGTGAATATAGTTTTCACATTTAATTATTCTAAGCTTAAATGGTAAAACACAATGGCTAGGTGGCGTAAGCTACCGCCCGATCCAAAGGGCTCAGTCGGATTCATCCATCCATCCAGTTTCCATCTGGTCTATCGGAGTCACGTGGTTTACGGGCCGCATTTGCAGTACGAGCTACGAGGAGGTGAGGAAAACGCTGATCGTCTGCAAACGCCTTCCCTCCTCACCACGCGAAGCGCAGCGCATGCGCACTTGCGACCGATCGTTGCAAAAGGTGTCCGCCATTAAGTTGCAAGCGTTCCGCATGGTTTTTAAAAGATCCCTGTCTTTAACCTAGGATCTTGCCGTAAACGGTTACGGGGGAACACAAACGCGTGATTTATGCAGTACGTGAGCCGTCCCAGGCTGGTGCGTAGCCGGCTCATCCGTCCCGGGGAGCTGGAGGCGAGCGTGGTGCGGTGGCGGCGCTACGGCGCCTTCATCATGGCCGCCATCGCGGGCTGGGACGACGCCGAGTGCCTCCTCGTCCACGAGCTGCTCCAGGGCATCACCGGGGCGCACTCCTTCGCCTCCAAGGTGCTCTCTGCGAGGCCCGGTGAGCGGCGCTTCCAGCTATACTACCGCGTCAATTAAAGCCACACGAAATACACGCTGTCCACTGCCGACGCGATGCCGTCTGCGGGCACGCCTCACGCAACTCCTGAGCATGTATGCATGAACATGTCTGCGGACAGGTTGACCAACAGGAGCGTCGTACAAGGACAGATGTCTATAGGCTGTCTTTGGTATTAGCAGTAGGCTCGTTTTACACACTTGTGAATGCGTACGGCCGAGTGCGTTACGACCTCTTGGGATCTCCAATGACGAGAGAGCATGCTGGCTCCGTCTGTTGACTAGCCGTGGAATTTGTCCTTTTTCGCGAATCGTCTTTTGACAACTGTCCCGAAAACCTTTCGACAATGTTACAAGCGACCCATTCTCGTATATGGTACGTACATATTTGATCTCGGAAGTATACCGCGATAGCTTCGGTCTTGTGGAATGCAGTTCCAGGACCACCTCATAGATGGCGTCAGCGTGCCGTGTGTCATTTCGTTGTAAGACATCGTGAGAGGTCATATTGTGCTCAGTCGTAAGCAGGGGCAAGTGCATGAATCTGCCTTTACGACCTATTGCGATATCTTGTGACGAGAGAGCGCAACTAGGACACAATCTGAGGTGGCCCTGGAACTGCCTTTCACTAGAACGAAGGTATTGCAGCATTTGCGAGATCAAATATACGTACTATTCAGGCGAAATGGTGGTTAATATCATCGGCAAAAACATTGACGCGGAAATGGCACATAAGAAAAGGGTGAGTGTTCCGTGGCTACACGATAAGTGGTGCCAGTGAGCGCTCTCGTCCTAAAACTTCACGAGAGGTCGTAAAGAAGTCGGTCTTAACTTGTAAGCAGTCGCAGGTGTGTGAGCGAGCCCTTAGCCTAGCGAGTTCTGAACGGTGTTTTTGCTCGCAGACCGGTTCCGGCGCGACGAGCTTGCCCTGCGTAGCTTTGTGCGGTCCCTGTTCCTGCGGGAGGCGTCCGAGGGCGAGGCCGTGGCCTGGCTCAGCCGGCTGCTCGCCCCCTGGCCCCTCGTGTTCAGGGCCAAGCTCCTGTACCTGGTGTACGGGCCCTGCTGCCAGCGTGAGTGCTCGAGCAACGTCCGTCCTTGCGGAAATCGACCGGTGCCCGCAACGAGCAAGTGCCAACTTGGAACGGACTGCAACAATCGGCACACTTACGTCTCATGTTTCATAGGCGATTCATTTTGGCAGCCCGAACGAAACATATTTGCGGAATACCCAGGTTTTACTCTTTTCGGCTCGCTATACTTGTTATCTCTAAATTTAGAATAGGTACAGAGAAAGCTGCAAATGGTGGGTGACATTCATATTTTCCCGCGCTTTCCATTAGGGGTACGTCACATGTAAAACTTGGGCACATTGATACTTTAGACCCATGTTGTTATAAGAAAAGAACTATATTCAAACTTTGGTCTAAAAACACGCCTTTTGTGTAAGGCTCGTAAAATTAGAAGGTTCTGAAAAGAAAAAAAAAAAAAAAAAACAGTCTTCTGTTTTCAGTCTTTATTTCGAACTCTTTTTGTTCTGGTTCCGCCCAATGAAAAGCATGCGGGAAGCGCCTCACCACACACCTCGTAATCGCTGCGCCGCTGTGTTCATTTGCAGCATTAAGGCCGTCTGCTTTCTTCGCCGTCAGCATGGCAAGGAACGCCGAATGAATGGAAGCACGCACAGTACCGCCGCGTGTAGCCAGCAACCCTTAGCGAAAACTAATACGTTTGAAATATACCACATTCTAATTTGAGTGTATTTGAAATACAGTTAATAATTGTAAGTACACGAAAAATAGACCGAAAATATAAACTTCTTTTTTTTTTACTTAGTACTAAAATATACTTCAAAAAATCATTTTAAAATACCTTTACTTAAACTACATTTGAAGTTCCCTTCATGCGTTTTGAAATATGTAAATACTAAATTAATAGGCACAAAATACCTTTCACGTATATTTCTTGAAATATTTATTTAATTCATGCAAAATATACTCCAACCCTAAAAAAATGGAGCAATGAACAATACGTGCAGAATACTCTTAAAATACCTGAAAATCGCAAATACTGTTGTGTTATACTCTAAGTACCTTTTGACTGCAATACTTTGGTAGTTTGACTTAAACTACCAAAATATTGAAAAGCTCCCCTTCTAGAAGTTCACTTCAAGTAGATATGGAGTACACTGAAGCGCCTAAATACAACATTTGATTAGTTTGTCAACTGAATTGCGGAGCATCGCACTGATAAATCAGCCCAGTTTATGTTATTGTTTCCTTTTTTCTATCAAGGACACACCTGATCAGTTCCTTGCACCAATCACAAACGGGGTTCGGGAACTACAACTACAACATTTGCTGATGCTGGAAAGCTTCAGCAGGTGCTGTGAACAGATACGTTTGGAGTGGTTTTGTTAGCACAATGTTAGTTCACTAAACGTGTATACTCACCATTGTACGTGATGTGAATAGTGACTTTAATATAGTGATATTAACTACCATATTAAATAGTCAACTACTAAAATGGAAAGGCAAAACAACTACTGTAAAATATTTATTTTTCGCGGGCTCAATATTTCGCGATTTCGGTCAAAGTTGGAGTTTTGGAATAATTCGCAAATTCTAATTTTTGCGACGCGCTGGGATCGCAATATAGATTTTAATATTTTTCCATTTTGCCGGAATTGTTCACGGGACCTATTTTTCGGAATTGTAGCCGATTCGCGAACTTTGCGAGAATTGGGTCCTCACGAAAATAAGGTTGTTTACAGTATTTTAAAGTGAAGATACTGCCTTGATTCGCTTCGTCCTGAGTGGTGCTACGCAGAGAAGCAATAACATGTATTTTATGAGCCGTTTGTGTGGATATTGTTTTAAGGACTGCGCCGAATTGTTATTAGTTATACCAATGCCTTTTACTAAGAAATATCATCCACGAACTTTAAAACACTGTTTCCCCTTTGGCAGACTCCCGAGGAGAAGATCGAATACTTGGAACCTTAATAAGCGCAGGGGTGGTCACCGAAAAAATGATTACCTTCAATATGTAGGCTATATAAGGCACTAGAGCGGTCAACGGGACTGTGAATGAGCTGTTCAGTGCGTCATGGTGTTTGTGTGTGTGTTCGTTTCTAATGTAGCTTTGTGAGATGTATCTAGTAGTTCCTTCAAATACCACAGGGGCACCATTTGCTGACAAAATCGAAAATAAAAAAAAATTGTGTAACCGGTTTTTAATGCACAAATGGCATCTTGAGTGTGAAGGAATAATATTTTTGGTATATCTAAAATATTTTTTGATTCATATTTCTAATGTATTTTGAATACATTACGCGCGTATTTCGAATGCGGCCAAAATAATACAGAATAAATACAAAATAAATATTCGTACTAAATATATTTCAACTTCGTTTGAAGTACGGCCTCTTTTTGCTAAGAGAAAAGCTGCCGCCATTTTCTGAACGCGGTCTGCTAGCCAAAGGTAATTAGTTTTGTAATGAGCAGCCGCAGACTGTCGCCGCGGAGCGTAAACGGGGGTTGTGTGGTGGGGGGTTAACACTCTTCTCAGTGATGCACGCGCCGTCCGAAAAAATCATTCGGCGTTCGTTGCAATGATGGCGGCGATGAAATGAGACGGCCTTTATGCTGCGGAAGAACACTGCGGCGCAGCGATATGAGGTACATGCTGAGGCGCTTCCCGCATGCTTTTCATTAAATGGAACCAGAACAAAAGAAGTTCGAAGTAAGAACTTGACGCTGATGGCTGGTTTTCTCTTACGCCTCATAATTTGACAAGCCTTATACGAAAAGCGTGTTTTTTTGTTGTTGTTTTTTTGCCATCTCGCGCCCTGTATTTTTTTTTCCGTCATATGAGTCTAAAACATCAAACTGCCAAAACTTGTAGATAGAGCGGAGAGTGTATGGAATACAGTACGTCGTGTATCTTTTTTTTTTTTTTTTCCATTTCACTGGAGCGAGTTGCACCAGCATTTGTTTCACAACATCAAATTTCTTGTAACCCATTGGGAACAAGCTGGATCGTCCAAATTTGGTCCAAATTACAACACGAACCGTCACGTTTTTAGTGTTGTTAGTAGAGCGTTTCAATATATATAAGATGGCGTTTACCGAATGTAAATAAATGAATAACATCGCAAAAAAAAATATTTTGACCCGTGATTTTGTTTTAGATGTGTTTATTGACGTGGGCGTGCCAACATTAGGCAAATAAGCGACTATCAAACTTTGGACATGCCCTTCGAGATCGATGACGCTAATTCTCGTGTGCTTGTGACGATACGCAACACGTTACGTGGCGTTACGGTGTCATGTGACATCGCGTCACGTGTAGTGTTACTCGATGATTTCGAGTTACGGAATCTGCCCATGCACAGACGCTGGTTCCACGAGCACTACTCCTCCCCCCTCTGCCGGAGCTTCACAGCTGAGCTAATCTAGTGGCGTTGGTCACGTGGCCCCGCGACATCAGTCTGACAAGTCGCGGTGTCACGTGACCCAAACTCAGCGGGGCAACCTGGCTGGACGTCCACGCAGACGCCGTCTTCTGGGACGTTCCGTCGGTGCCGCAGTCGGCCGTCCAGTCCGAGCTGCTGGTCACCGCCCTCTCGGATCTGGGTTCGGCCCTGCGCTCGCTGCACGAGCACGGCCTTGGCTGGACCCACGACGACACCGTCACAGTCCTCGAGGAACTCATCGGTAAGCCGGCCACGAAACGCCAGCCAGGGATCAAGTGCCTGGTATATACCCATACCCTAGCTGTTCACGAACAAGTCAGCGTTCGCCCACAGCAGTTGTCGCCTGTGACCGTACGAGAAATCATTATCGCGCCAGGTGAAGCGACTGCAGAGGCACCGTGCCGACGGCAGCGCCACCACACGACATCAGAGCCGCGTCTTGGTCTACATCCTCTTAAAAACAAACCAACATGTGCACTCATATGTCCCGTGTTTCATACTACCACATGAAAGAACCATATAACATGCATGCATTTCTCTCAATAAAGAATGCACAGGTCAATTTGATGTTTGTACACTAACGCTTCGATCCCAGTTTGAGCGGTCCGCAAAAATCGGTTTCTCAACTTATCGCACTAAGATTTACTACGGAACTGCGGCTAGGTGGTGCCCTCATGAAGTTAAAATATCAACAAATGAGCTTACCTTGTTATATAAAAAAAAAAATAATAAAAAAATTGTTTAGGGCTATTTGCCGCGGCATTCGCAGACGACGTCATGACTGGGGTCGCTTAGTCAGATCTGCGTCCGACAGATGTCGAAAGCTTCGTGCTCGCCGACGCCGTGCTTAGCAGATTTTCTGAAACTTTCCTGTCTCTGCCGGCAAGCGCGCCCTTCTCGGTGCTCTCGTGGCGCACGAGACCAGCGCGAGATTTCCTCAGATATACTTCGTTTCACCTTATGTTGTACCGCAGCGAAGGCTGGAAGAGCGAGCTCATAGCATTGACAGCTGCCCTTACTGCACGAGAGCTTGTGCCGCCGAGATCTGCCCCAGAGCAAGGAGTTCGCGCTTACAGCCTTTCCTGCGGTACAACATAAGGTGGAACAGAGTATAGAAACATGCGATGCCCTGCTCGAACTGCTGGGCGTATACCGTATTGGCTCGAGTAATAGCCGCACTTCTTATGGACAAGGAAGTCCCTTGCGTCTACTTCCCATGAAAAACGCAGCGAATAACAATGTCGACAACACGATTTTCCGTAAAAAATTCGATCTGTGCAGATAGCGATGCAGCGTGAAGAAGTTATCTCTGTCCCGTAAATCGCTGCCATTTTTCCGCCGATCGCCATGATTCGCTATCCCTGTGCTCCGCGGGAAAGCAGACCCACAGGCCTTGTTCGTATGACGTGCGGCTATTACTCGATAAAATACGGCCACGGAATTTGTGGCATTGGAATGGCTTACCAAGGATGACTGTACATCACTTCTTACTCGCGATGCCCGTGTCCTTTCTAATTTCTTCACAAGGGTAGCGCAAGTATGTACCCAATAGTAATCTTGGACGTCCACTTCCCCACAAAGCACTTGTGGGAGCCAATCGCTGCAAGGTATGGAGCGAGCTCTGCGAGTAATGCGGCTAATATGTTGACCTAAATGAAATAACAGTCCGCGCTATGGTGCTAAGCACGAAGTTTACCATGTTCACCGGTACAGCGCACGCTTTTTCTTATCAGGTCCAAACATATTAGCCGAGCTAGCTCCGTAGATTGTAGCTAGTTTCTGAAGAGTGGACGTTCCAGATTTTTTAGAGTGTTTATCCTCAAAAGTGGGTAAAATCAGACCCTTACAACAAGTGGTCTTGTACTCGAAAGAAGTCGAGGTTGTGCCTAAAAAAGGTAACAGCTCATTGAAGCCTGTGCTGTTAGCCTCCATAAGGAGGTAAAAGCAGCCCCTTGAGGCAGGCACTCTTCCCCCGAAAAGGGCTCAAGAATGCTCCCCTAAAGATGCACTAGAGACGTTTCTGAGATCGTCTGTTCTTTGTGACAGCTCATTCTACGAGATCTTACCATCCCAGAAATCGAAAAATTATGCTCGTGCGACGTCTACTAAAATTGGGATCGAAGTTCGTACCACGCCCCTTTCTGAGCGGAAAACTCTGGAGCGCAGAATCCAGTGGAGGCACCGGCGGCGTGACGACGGACGCTCGATCTCAGAAACGTCGCTAGAGCAGCTTTAAGGCCTGTTCACACATGCGGCGGAGCGCTACAAGCAGAGCGCTTACCTCGCGTTAAGCGCGTACTGACGGGAGCCTTCACCAGCTTTCTATCGCGCCGTCTAAACTGTTGCTCACGGCAGACGATAAGTATAGCTGACGAAACGTGAGCAGCGCTACATGAGCGCCTCGCTGCATCTGTGAACCGGCCTTAAATGGAGCGAAGTTAGGGAGTAATGTTGCACCCTATTACAGTAGGTAATGTTACTCCTTGAAGGGGGTCTACAGCGACAATTCTGTTACATCTATACTCTTTTTTAGAGTGTAGGGGTCGGGATATTTTGGTGATCGTTCTTCTGGGTCACGACCAAGCCACTATTTCCTTTTCCAGTGTAGACAAGGCTATTCGTGCTTTTTAATGCTATACGAACCCCTATCTATTTGTTAGGAAGAGGATGGCAGTTGAAGCTTCTATGTTACTCGATTTACCGTTACGTGCACCCCTATAGGAGCCGCGGGTCGGAGCGATGGAATGACTCGGGGAAAAACCGAACATCTCAGCGACTATATGTCTAGGAGTTTAAGGATTTTAAAGCATCGACGTTTATCGAAGCATAACTCGCTTCGAGTGTCGTCTTGGGACAGTTAGTAGCTTAACATTGCCGTTGACGAGGTTGTCTATGGCCAATTCAGCTAAAGATATACAATTCTATGCAAGTGAGTTCTTATAAACGTTGGGCACCTATGTGTATGGAGCGTTATTTTATACTTCACTTTAAAAAATTGGAAACGCAAGGAAATACACTCGGAATTTCGGAGAATCGGGCTTCGAACAAAAATGGACTCGAATGAACTCCCAGTTTTCTTTAGAAAAAGCAAAACAAAAAGAAAGACGGAAGGTAAAGAGAGTCCGTCGTGGCAGTGCTCCCCCGTGCCTGGTTGCCCCTGAACGCGGCCCGCCTGCTCTGTTCGTGCGGCCGGGACATCGCGGTGCTGGTGCTCGCCTCCAAGCTGGTCAACGGCAGGGACTCGGACGTGGCCACCTTCCTCTTCAACATGCTCCTGGTGAGCCTCAACCTGTCGCTCCCTCTAGAGGGCTCTTCATAGAGCGCACCAGCTTTGCCGGACCGAGGTGTTTCCCTCCGCTTTACGACCATCTTTGTCGGGGAGGGGGGCAGAGAGAACCTGGCCTTTCTTGAAAAAGCTCACAGCGCATCCACTTCCCCCTCAGCTGGGGCTGTCAGCTGAAGGCTCCGCTACTGATTCCAACTGCCCCTCTCCCCCCCCCCCCCCCCCCACACACACACAAAAAAAAAAAGAAAATGGAGCAAGGTTAGGGGGGAAGGTTGTTGTTCGTGTAGATACTTTACTCATTGACAGCGTAAGAAATAGACTAAATCTTTACGCTTTCTGCTTCGTTTACCCACCTTTTCATCGGATCGATCCCATTGGCTGCGGAGAAGTAATACTAATAGGCTTGGGACTCCTCGGTGGCAGGTGCCTGAACGAGCCTTTAAAGGTGGGGGGGTTCCGGACTTCGGTCAAAAATTTGTGGAAGTTGCCCTCTGACACTTCTGAAGTAAAGAACAGAAAAGCGAATTCGCCTGCGTGTCCTAGTTGTAAAAAAATAAAAAAAAGATAAAGATTGGCATTTGTGGCACCCCTCAACTCACTCCCAATTTTCAGGGTCACATCTAGTCCCCCTCCTCGTGAGGTACCTCGGGGTGGCGTGTAGCTTCCCGTGTGCTCCCTCGGAGGACGCTTCCTCTTCCTCTCTCTGCTGACATTAGCGGGCGTTTTGTTGCAGCTTAGAGCCGAGCGAGGTAACGTAATCTTCTCGCGACTTTTGCTTTGCCATTATGCAGAGAAATCGCGACATTTTTTTAATGAAGGAGACGTTTTTTCTATCCTCCGGGACATGATAAACAACGTAAAATGACGAGATGCTAATTCTTTTAAGCTTAAATTAGTTGCAACCCCCCCCCCCCCCCCCCCTCGTCGCTCCTGTTGAAGGGGTTTTGTTGGAACGCGGACCGAGCCTTAAAATTCCCGCCTTTCCTGCACTGTCGTAGCAAAAGCAGTGAGAAAGCAGAAAAAATTGCATGTCGCTTCGCGGTGAAAGTGTTTTGCTGAGAAGGATGATTTCCCCTCGACGCATTGTTACGTGGGAGAAACGTTTTATCCACTGTGGCCAATCAGAGATCGAGCAAGCAAGAAAGAGCGGAAACAAACTTTGTCACCAAAATGAAAAAAAAAAAAAAAAAAAAAAAAAAAAACTTTGGGCGATTGTTTCGACGTGAGACAACCCTTAGCGAAAACTAATACGTTTGAAATATACCACATTCTAATTTGAGTGTATTTGAAATACAGTTGATAATTTTAAGTACACGAAAAATAGACCGAAAATATAAACTTCTTTTTTTTTACTTAGTACTAAAATATACTTCTAAAAATCATTTTAAAATACCTTTACTTAAACTACATTTGAAGTTCCCTTCATGCGTTTTGAAATATCTAAATACTAAATTAATAGGCACAAAATACCTTTCACATATATTTCTTGAAATATTTATTTAATTCATGCAAAATATACTCCAACCCTAAAAAAATGGAGCAATTAAAAATACGTGCAGAATACTCTTAAAATACCTGAAAATCGTAAATACTGTTGTGATATACTCTAAGTACCTTTTGACTGCAATACTTTGGTAGCTTGACTTAAACTATATAAATATTGAAAAGGGGATCCCTTCTAGAAGTTCGCTTCAAGCAGATATGGAGTACACTGAAGCGCCTAAATACAACATTTGACTAGTTTGTCAACTGAATTGCGGAGCATCGCACTGATAAATCAGCCCAGTTTATGTTATTGTTTCCTTTTTTCTATCAAGAACACACCTGATCAGTTCCTCGCACACCAATCACAAACGGGGTTCGGGAACTACAACCACAACATTTGCTGATGCTGGAAAGCTTCAGCAGGTGCAGTGAACAGATACGTTTGGCGTGGTTTTGTTAGCACAATGTTAGTTCACTGAACGCGTATACTCACCATTGTACGTGATGCGAATAGTGACTTTAATATAGTGATATTAACTACCATATTAAATAGTCAACTACTAAAATAGAAAGGCAAAACAACTACTGTAAAATATTTTTTTTTTCGCGGGCTCAATATTTTGCGATTTAGGTCAAAGTTGGAGTTTTGGAATAATTCGCAAATTCTAATTTTCGCGACGCGCTGGGATCGCATTATAGATTTTAATGTTTTTTTACATTTTGCCGGAATTGTTCACGGGACCTATTTTTCGGAATTGTAGGCGATTCACGAACTTTGCGAGAATTAGGTCCTCACGAAAATAAAGTCGTTTACAGAATTTTAAAGTAAAGATACTGCCTTAATTCGCTTCGTCCTAAGTGGTGCTACGCAGAGAAGCAATAACATGTTTTCCGTGTCTCCGGTTTACGATGGAAGTTCTTCACCAGCTCGCCTGTGCTTTTACCCTTTCTTCGGTATTTTATGAGCCGTTTGTGTCGATATTGTTTTAAGGACTGCGCCGAATTGTTATTAGTTGTACCAATGCCTTTTACTAAGAGATATCGTGCACGAGCTTCAAAACACTGTTTCCCTTTTGACAGACTCCCGAGGAGAAGATCGAATACTTGGAACCTTAATAAGCCCAGAGGTGGTCACCGAAAAAATGATTACCTTCAATATGTAGGCTATATAAGGCTCTAGAGCAGTCAACGGGACTGTGAATGAGCTGTTCAGTGCGTCATGGTGTTTGTGTTTGTGCTCGTTTCTAATGTAGCTTTGTGAGATGTATTTAACAGTGCCTTCAAATATCACAGGGACACCATTTGCTGACAAAATCGAAAATAAAAAAACAATTGTGTAACCGGTTTTTAATGCACAAATGGCATCTTGAGTGTGAAGAGATAATATTTTTGGTATATTTAAAATATTTTTTGATTCATATTTAAAATGTATTTTGAATACCTTACGCGCGTATTTCGAATGCGGCCAAAATAATACAGAATAAATACAAAATTAATATTCGTACTAAATATATTTCAACTTCGTTTGAAGTACGGCCTCTTTTTGCTAAGGGAAGGTTTAGGCTCACGGTCTTCTGGTACCATAGAGGATCAATTGCCGAACATTAGGTCCTCGGAGACAATATTGTTAACAGCTCGTCGTATTGTGAACCGTTCGAGAACAACTCGAAGTCTGTGATCGGGTAAAAGCGCCGTGGTTCGCTACCTTCGGTGTGTTTTGCCGAAGCACGATAATGCGCGCCCTCACGCGGCATGTGGCACGGCGGAACAAACGAAGCCTTTATGTTTTCGGTGAATTCCTCATCCGTCATACACAAAAAAAAAAAAAAAAAAATTTTAACATTGAGTGTTTAATTCTTTTTTTTTTTTGTTTTGAACCGCTCGAAGCATTTTACGGCGCAACGAAGCTCGGTAAATGGGATGACCCGAATGCGGCTATGCATCCGTGACAAGGTGCCGCGTTCGACGGCATTCACGCGTTGGTGAGGCGTTCCCGGACATGCGTTAAACGCGCGGGGGGCTATGTTCAAAAAGGTCAAAGTACATTTAATCCTGGCTCTATTATTACGTAGATAAAAATATGTTGCGGATACTTTTTGACTTCCCATCGTAAATATAATCATGTTGCAGGATCGCCCGAATGAACCTCGCAACGTAAATATTGCGCTAAGACCTTTTTTTTTAAATTTTGTTTTCTGAAAAGTGGAGGTCACTTTTTGTGACGTAGGTGTGTTATCCGGGCACTTACAAATAATAATGTTTTGGGGGAATTCCTTGCGGAGCCACGCGGCTAATGCTTCGAAGGAGAGGCAGTGTCTGACAGAGACACTAGAGAGTTTCCGAATAGGGCGCCCCAAAGCTTGGAGGCCCCAGAGAAATAGGGGCCTCCCACTGCGCATGCGCCGAACCTAAACTGAGTCTCGGGTTTTGGGTTGGCGCTCGCCCCTAGCGCGATTCGCAGAAATAGCGGGGGGCCCCTGTTTGCTCGGGGCCGGGTTGCGTCGACAAAACATGGCGGAGCCCCTTTCCGCTCGCTTCGGAGCGGAAATCAACGCCTCCTAGAAACTAACCTCGCAAAGGAAGGCCAACGGAGCGCGCGTCAAACCGAAGTCAACGCGCGCGGATTAACCGTCGTAACGCGCTTCTAGTCACATGCGCGTGTCTTATTAGCTAAAATGAAGGCTGTACATAGCAACGGGTCTAGAAAACATTTCATTACACGGGCAAAACATTACACCGCTAAATAATCGGTATGGAATGGCACGAGGTATGCGTATAACTCGTCTATAGAAAAAATGTGATTGTTTTAAATCGAAAACATTGAGTCACTCAATTATTGCTTACGAATGCATATTTTATACAGAAATACTTCGACAGAATGGCGAGACACGCAGTGATTGGGCACAGCAAAACAGATCACAGGTAAAAATCAGGTAGACGAAGTCAACGCGGACACGGCCAGAGAAGTGTTACTTACGATCATGTAAACAATGTTATCGTGTGCAGTCATTGAATTCTTGCATTATACCCCGGCCACATGGCAAAATTAATGTAATTTCGATCGAATGATGCGACGCTCGTAAAATCACTCAAGACCGCCATCTGATCAAATCCGATATCATTTAATTAAAGTAAATGAACTTTTTCGTGTGGCACGGGTATTAAACTTAGTATTTACAGACAACTAATTTACTTATCCCTATGCGCTCGAGCTGCCTTAGAACAAATTTTAACCTATTTTATATACAAGAATGCTATTACCGCAATACAGTTAAAATTCTAGTATAAACGCGGTAAAGGCAATAAAATAACATTATTATAAACACATAGGTACAAACAGCGCACTTTCAATAATCACCCAAATTTGTTATTCACCTTCCAGTGAAAAGTAGAATATTACCACGCATACATAGCAATGTCGACGCAACTGCACACGTATAACGACGAAAAACAACATTCCATTCTATCACAAAATTGAAAAAGAAAAAAACGACTGCACCACTTTACTTGCGTCACAACCAAGAAAGCCCGTGAAAAAGTTGTTTCTCACCTGTCGCTTGTATCTAAATGTCCCACAATATCCGCCACGAAAACATTTGAACACGAACTCCAAGAAGTGTCTCTCTCTCTTGAGAGAAAGGTCAATCGATAATCGATCAGTCTTCGTTGGCTAGTTGCCACGCACGTCACTCAAACCGTAGCAGGACTTCTTCCACAAGTCCACTTAAATGCCGTTTTATCAAGCAAACACAAAAAAAAAAAAAAAGAAATCTACCCGAGACTACGGTAACGAAAGAAAAACGACGGGAAGAAGGAAAGAAGTATCAAACGGACCACACAAGAGGGCGTCGGCAGCAGTGTGGGACTAGAGTTCCTGTATAGCTACCTACGGTAGCAGAGTTGCGCATTCAGCCTCGGCGCGTGGCCGTAGCGCCGGCTTTCCCGCACGAGCTGGATGCTTTGCTCCCCACGTGACTAAATTTGGCGAATAGCGGCGCCGCGCGCGCCGCCGCGCATGGAAAGCAGGAGAGGAGGAAAAGGAGGCGGAAAGCAGGGAAACATACGCCGGGGCAAGAGAAGCGTCGGCGGAGCGACCGTAAAGGTGGCTTTCTTGCACGCCAACGGATGCTTTGCTCCTCACGTGATGGATCTCGGCGAATAGCGGCGTGGCGGCGCGGGGAAAACAAATGCGCAACTCTGGCTCCCGTAGGGAGCCTATACACGTTTGCAAGTCCGGCTTCAGGGCGCTGCCATCTTGCCTGTCTGGGGTGCTCTTGGACCAGTCATAATCCGATTACGAAGCCTTGCTAAGGCGTCGTAATCGGATTATGGCCGCTCCCGAGAGCGCACCCCACTGAGGAAGATGGCGGCGCCCTGAGACCGGACTTGCAAACGTGTATACAGGAACTCTATGTGGGACGAAAGCCTCAACGTTTCCGACCCATTTCTTGTCGTGTGCGCTCACTGCGGCGATGACTGGATTTTTGTTTCGGTTCCCTTCCCTTTTGAAATGTCTCAGCGTTCCTTTTCACGCAGTCAGCAGCTCACAGACAACGTAAATTGACCAGAATCGGAGCCCGTATGAGGGAAACAAAATGTGACACCGGAGCCAGTTCCTTCGAACGTACGTAGTCCCGCCGGTTACGGGAATAATCATAAATGTATACATTTGGCATTTTGAACCTTGGTTACATGCTATATATATATATATATATATATATATATATATATATATATATATATAATAAATTGTACAAGACTGCGGTTTTAAAACGTATATTAATGTCGGATCAACGCGCACGAACACCACCGCGCCGCTCGACAAGAAATATTTCTTTCACGTCGATACCAGATATTTTCTAACGTAGTTGCGCCATGGCCTTCCTTTTCCGATATTGTGACGTAACCACTCGGAGCGCTATGGCCTCCTTTTTTAGGGGGTGTTGAGCAAATTCGTCATGGTCACTGCTGCATTAGACAATTTCGTTGCCAATGAAGGGTGCAACCGGCTTTCGCTTTGTTTTATCTCGGGCAAGTCACAAAGAATGAGCGGTGGGCTCCCCCATTTTCAAGATCGTCCCTTATTCTGGCCCTTCCTAAGCCTATGGGGACGCGATAACCGTTGACATCGCAACGTATCGGTACTCCGTGGCACGATACCAGCTAGCTTAAAACAAGTAGTTCAACGCTTCAAAGCCGCTCCTGCTCAGATCTAAATTGAGCAGCTGCTCGCAGAGTATGCTCGCTCGCGTTCGCCTCAGTTTCGGCATAGTTGAAGGCCTAAATTATCGGCCACAGACGGTCGAAGTGCACACGAACGCTCACGAAATTCCAGACGAGCTCGAAATGAGAGCGTTATGGATTTGGTTGTTTCGGCTGAATACAGCCAACAACATTTATAATGATTTTATATTGTCTCTTGTTTTAGTAGGCTTGATTGGGATTTACCTTATTATTAAAAAAAAAAAGAAAGAAATGAAAGTCCCTTACAACCCCCTGTATGTAACACCGAATTAGAGCGCAGCTCTTTAGGAGGAGGAGGAGGGAAGAGTACTGAGGGGAGCGTACACTCCTCCTCCTCACCTCATCCTGCCTGCTACACCTCCCTCCGAGCGGCGTCGGCGTAACGTCGGCGAAGGGGTCACATAATCTGTCACCTCCGCCGGCGAAGGGTTCACGTGACCCCCGTGAGGTCACGTGGCGTCATCGTGATGACGTCATTGCCATCGTCAGTGATGACATCACGCGTGACGATGACTAACCAGTGGTGACGTCATCAGTGACGTCATCGTGATGATGACCAACGCTATTAGATTACCTCAGTTGTGGAACTCCCGCGGAGGGGGGTGCCCCCCATCACTCACTCACTCCAATCCGCCAAGGGTCGATCGAAGCGTCATCTACATTTTCATTTCATAACTATTCGTTCCCAGGAGCCCGTCTGAAGCGCCAAATGGCGATCACAACGCCGCCGATTATCCTGCAGCGGTCACTCAAGGAACTGCACGTAACACCAATTTTGGCTTCAATCGGCCATTTCGGAGCCGAAACAGATACAATGGAAAGAGGTCCCAGATGCCACCCCCATGTACCCAGCAGGAGCGCCGCGAAATTGCCCCGAAGTTAAGATGAGCCTAGGTCGGGACGTGCTACCTGGAATGGGCGCTGAGGCATGGTAGTATGAAAACAATATTAATTGTGCCGCAAAACCTAGCAAACTAAAGATTTTAGAAAACATCACGCGCCCCCCATTTTGTACTAAACTCCAATAAAAGTTACTACAAAAGAGGTTTTTTTTTCGTTGGTTTTACGTTTCTAGTAACGTTGAAACGTACGTATCCTGATTCAGTTACCAGAGCAGCCGTCTGGCGGCGCGTCGAGCGACGCTTGGCGAGTCGTGGTGAGTGAGGGGGGGTACTGTTCGTGTATGCGGCGCCTATGAGCAGTTCCGTAACTGAGCTAATCTAATAACGTTGATGATGGCGATGGCATCATCGTAATGACGTCATCACGATGACGTTACTGATGATGTCACCAGTGACGTCGCGCGTCCCATTTTGCACCGCGCGGTTACGCCGCTCAAGCCTGAAACGGGAGCCTTAAGCGCGATCCAAACCAACGCTTCTTTTTGCGCCTGTAGGTCGTGCGGCTGCGGATGTGACGCATTTCGTGGCGTTTTTGCTGTTTCCGGGCGCGCTTTCTGAGTCAGAACCGTGCGCTTTGGTTTGGACGGGCGAAACTTCGAGCGAGCGCGCACGCGCGCACGCGCGCACGCAGGCACGAGCGCACAAGCAAAGCAAAGTGCAACTGCGACAGACTGGCCGGCCAGACGGCGAGAGAAAGAGAGAGAGAGAGAGAGATCGCGTTGTCATGTTGGAAGAGAATAAAAGGGGGGGAGGAGAGGGCAGCCAGACGGCGAGAAACGCGGAGCCGGAACTAGCTTGCCCTCCACCGATTGGCCGGGACACAGGAGCGCCCTACTACGTCACCGCGCGTTTTTGTGCGCGTTGAGAAAGAAGTTGAAATCGACCAACTTTTTTACGCGCGCCCGGAAGGAGCGAAGAAGCGGCGCGACGTCACGAAAATACGTCCCATCCGCAGCCGCACGACCTACAGGCGCAAAAAGAAGCGTTGGTTTGGATCGCGCTTTAGAGCTTCGCTCTGAAAGTACTTGCTAAGCGCATGTTTTACTTTTGTTAATACTTTTTTCTTTTTTCATTATTACGTACGTTGGCCGCATTGGCGCTGCAAGCGAGAAACGTAAGCGCACTGCGCTGCGTTGCGAAACTCCTATATACTTTATAAGCCGTGGACAACAAACAACCTTGTTGCGTTTGGGTCCCCCGATTTCATAGGGAAACCCAAACGTTGAAGCCCTCTATGCTAAAACTCCCTACTGTTCGAGAGCATTTCTTCCTCACACATTGGCCATACAAAAAAAAAAAAAAGCTTTTAGACACATTGGAATCCTACATGCGTGTGAAGCAATGATGTTTGGAACATGCTCGACGTGTGTCCGCAAATAATTGAGTCATTGTTTGAACAGCGAACAGCGTAATTCAGTAGCCGCCACGAGAATCGTCCGAATCTCCTATCGCCCATGGGCGCCTACTTCGAGCATGTATTGGGCCGTGTCAACGTTCGGCGAGCACGCGCGAATCCAGTCGGGCGCTTCGTGGCCCCAAAATGGCGCCCGCGATCGTTGCTCGTCGCTGTTTAATAAAAAAAGGGCCCAGGGACTCCGTTGACGCCGACGGTTTCCGCAGGTGGACTGCAGAAGCGCGACGAGCGTGCCCCTGGTGCTGAACGTGGTGCTCGACCTGCGCGGCCTGTTTCCGGGCCGGCGCCACCTCTCGCTCCTGCCGGAGATCAGCGACAGCCTGCTCAGGAGCGCCGTCGACTTCCACATCTTCGGTGAGGGCGCTGTGCGCCTGGTCGAAGCCCAGCTATAGCTACCTCGAGTCCGACCGCCCAAACTGCGTCGTCGCGGCGCGCGTCGTTTTCGGCGCCTGTGCTATCTACACCAATCACGCGCGGGGAATGCATCATGATCTCGCGCTTTTTGTTTGGCGCGTCGTTGCTCTTGCGGCTCACAGCGAGCGCTCAAAAACGATGAGCGCCTTGACGTTGCATTTTTGATTCTGAAGCATTGGCTCTATCGAGTCGTAGCCTCGGCTATGCTCTTTCTCCCGCCGCTTTCTTCGTAGTCCCCGATGAGCCCGAAAATTTGTTAAACGCACCAACAAACCTCGCCAAAAGGGTAACCCAAGTATTGGGCCGAAATGTTTTTCGCCGAGTGTTTGAGTTTACTATTTGTGTCCTCGCCGTGTATTTTCCGAGCGAAAGTCTGCTCGCAACCATGAAAAAGTGATGTCGGGGGAAGGAGGCAGTTCAGTCTCCCGACGGTAGATTTTTAAGTTTCGGGTCGTGAAATGAATGCGTCGGTAGCTCGCTCCGTCACCCGCGTGGCAGCACGAAACAAATCGCTCGGCATAGTCCATTTTGAGACTATACCCGGTCGAGCCGCGTGCCTGCCTTCCCCTACCGTCGCGGCACTGAAAAGTGCGGGTGTCTCTTAATGTTCGTGTTTGCATCATTTTCACTCGCCGATTTCGCAATATCTATTCTGAATTTCTCAATGCTTAACAGCGTATCGGAAAGGGCAAAGACCGGTGGGGTTTCTAACGTACTGTGTTGAGCGCATTCTAAGCAAGCTTAAAAATAAAGTTTCTTAAAAGGGGGAAACGAATGGTTGAGAGATATCTCGTGTCTTAATTTTAACACCACGACGGGAAGACTCAATGTTGCGGTATTGTCGCATTTGTGTAAAATCATTTCGCGGCGCAGTTTTCGCTGGATTTATTTTCAATGAGTTTCACGAGATCGTAACACCAGCACCAAAAGACCTAAACCAAAGCTTTTTTTTTTTTTTTTTCTTTTTTTTTTAGTTTTTGCGAACGGCGGTTTATTGCATGCGTCGCCTGACACGGCCGAGGTCAGTTTTGTCGGAATATGACTTCTGTGTAATTCTTATAAACTGCGTCGCACGAAAAAAAAAAAAAAAAAAAAGGTTTAACGACATGCGCGCCGTAGTGATACGATGTCAACGCGCAATGCCTCACCGCCGCGCGCCGCGCGTTTACTTTCAAGTAGACCACGGCCGATGCCAGCAGCTATTCGCGATGACAGCGAAACGGTCGGCACCTAGCGGGAAAACACTGAACTGGCAGGAGGAGGTCCTTTCGCAATTTCCGCCCGTCAGTTGCGGCTTGCGTGATTCCCTGTTGTCGGTGGTTCGCGCGATAGAAGAGTCGTCCCGTCGACTCTGTCGTAACTCTATAGTATCAGCTTGTTCTCAGGTTGCTCTTCAAGCAACCTACGCAACCGCGTGAATCAGACATTCCGCGTTTCTCAACGTTCATCGGCACCGAGAAAGGGCAGTAGGCAGTCCTTTCATCGCTTCCTCGAAGGAAGTCGAGCCTCTGGAAGCTCGCTTATGCCTACACATCGCAGCAGGCTCGAAACGTGGAGGATAAAAAGCGGGCAAACTTTTTTGAGTCCATTGCTCGCTCTCTAATGTTCCAGCGTTGAACCTTGAGCTAACAGATGGCAGAAATTGTATTAGGCCGCCATATTTGCCCGATAGTGCCTCCCCTATAAATTGCTGGAGGCGCCACAAAGTCCAGTCGAATAGTTCATCTTGGGCCTACGCTGTCGAAACATCAACTCTTACAAAATTGGGTGGCACTTATGAATTTGGTTCGTCCTTTTCTTGTCCAACCACGCCCAGCCCTACGATGGGCTGTTCGTGTCACCCAAGATGCTGTCGCAGTAGAAACAGTCGTACCGGAACGTCGTTTTTCTCCTCTCATTTAAAAGAGCGTTCGTGAATACCGATTTCTACGTATCTTACGATATGCGTAACTTACGAACTTGTTAGCGAAGTTCCTGCCTAAGAAGCTCTTTGTGAATCTGGCCTCTGGTGGATAGCACCGGATGTGTAAACACTGAACTGTCGATATATTTTTCTTCTACAGACGGCATCAACGGCAACGAGGAGGTATGCCACGCCCTCTTGTCCACGTTGGCGGTCCTTCTGAACGGGTTCTGCGAGCAAGCCGCCCCCGAAACGGCACCCGAAGAGTGAAGACAACCTCGGCCGCCACCAAGGAACTTCGAAAAGGAAAACGAGTTCAGCCAGTCGCGGTGCAGTTTAAATGATTCCTGCGCGACTACTTCCCCGCGGAGCGCGTCTTGAACCAATTACTGCGAGCCATTGAGCACAGACGGCGAATGAGGAGGATCAAAGAGCGGTCTGGTTCAGAAACGTCATGGGCGCAAAGAGAATGACTTTGACTTTTCGTTTAAACTGCGCGCACATAACGTTCTCGAATCGTTTTTTCTCTTTTGTTTTTTTGTGGGTCTCGTAGATTGCTGTAGTCAGCAAAAACGTGTTCTGCGGGAAAGCCGACGCGCAGCCATTTTTTGAGGTGTGGGGCGTTTACGCTCTAACTCCACCCCTCTTAGGCAGAAGGCCGTAAATGTGAATCGGCCGCTTTACCTAAGGTGGGCCGGCACGGGACACGGATTGGACAAGGGTTGCGTCAGTGTTGGGCTATGGCTCCTGTTCCACAAAGGAGAACGCGAGTGCCATCTGAACGCCGACGCAGCACGCGCTGCTTACGGCAGATGCCTTTGAAAACCCAGTTCTCCGACCTCCTGTCTAGGGGGTGTCGGAAGGGCGCTGATCAGGGTCAAAAGCGGGACCCTGTACGCCCTCAGAAGACCCTGAGTGCGTACTGCCCAGCAATTCACTCAAAATGCACATGACTGTTTTTTTTGTTTTTTTTTTGTCGACGCGTTTAATTTATGAAAAGCGTGATCCGTGCAATGCGTTGATGGTTACGCTGCGTGGGTGGCTACTGGAAGACGTTCCCACTTCGTTGGTTAGTTGCAGTGTACGGCTATCAGAGCTCTTCATTTTTTATTTCCTCTCCACGTGGTCTTCGATGATGTTGAGAGGAATCATTTTGTTTTAGTTTCTGTGTGCATTAATGTTTCACTTTTTTTGGGTCGGATGAACCGAATCTGTCGTTTTTATTTTGCTAGAGTTGTAGGCCATTCTTGACAACCACTCGATGTGTGTGCTGTGGTTAAGGAACCAACGAATGTATGAATAAAAATAGGAAAGCAGAACCTCCCAACCCTATTCCAGGAAAACAGTTCCAAGCTGTGCGAGAGTTCGTTCCCGTGTACAATTGTACATTTGTGTACCATAATTATATTCTAAAATAAATATAAAGTTCGCATCAACTAATATAAACACTGCTTCTGTCTTTCATTTCCTAAGATATAATACTTTTCCGGAACACGATGTAGATGTTTATAAACACCAAGGGCAAAATGCAATACGCTAAAACACTTTTATAAAGAAAAGCCCGAGAGTATATTTTTAGTAGACTTTAGGTAGCCTGAAGTATACATATATTATTACATATTTTATGTTCTTATTGGTTTTAAATTCAATTAAAAGCAAATATCTATTTTAACACCCCCCCCCCCCCCCCCAAAAAAAAAGTTTTTAAGAAGCATTATGACGAAGTCTGGTATCACACTATAAAGGAAGCAGCTTTAAGAAAAATATGATTTGTACATTAGAGAACCTATTCATTCTAACAATAAAGGCAAGCATTTTGCAACAAAATGCACTCATTGAGAATCAGTTCAAGTACAAACCGTAACTCTCCCTTCTTGATGAACGCTGTGTAGCAGCAGAGGCTCCTACTGCCATACACGGCGTTGGCTCACCTTTTGTTCTATCAGTCAAGACGAAAAGTCTGAATGAGGTCTTACGAGGTGCGCAAAAAAGTCATGCGACTTGCATCACTGTGCACTAATCGACAGCGCCGCTGTCCCCCCATTCCTTCCCTTCAGCTATTGTTTTCACGCGATTGCTGAGAGCGTCTTCAGCTGTGTTTTTGAGGTGGGTTACGAAAATAGATCAGCAAAAGTTTGTGTGCCACTTGGCGATTTCGCTACTCTGACCTTTTATAAGTTCCAAATGAATTACGAGGAGCAGTTCCTATTCAGAGCCTTATTCGAGAGCCAAGAAAAGTGGAAGACAAACCTTGTGCGGGAGGACTTTATACCTAAAAAGCGGACGACAATGTGAAAATAACGAGAGCTTTTGTTAGGTCAGACCGTTGATTGATATTGAGAATGATCAAAAGTGAGATAGATCTGAATGGGTTAACCAGCGGTCAGATGGGTATACCCAGGGTTCGGGCAGGAGAAGAGTGCTCGCTAATACTGATACAAGAACCTAACGACTGAGCAGAAAACCAATCGAAAGGGCGTGTCTTTTTCATCTGAACCACCTTGATAAGGTGATCGAATTCTTCAGTCACATGATCACAGTTGATGAATAGCGTATTTTTATTACGACCACGAGACTAACTGTTAAAGTCGGGACCAACACTTCAAACACTACTCGTATAAAAAAAGCGTAAATTTAGTAAATCCAAAATCTAAATTTATGCAATTTTTTTAAAGTAATGAGATTGTTTGCAAAAAATTTGCGCTGCTAAGACAAATTGTCAATGTTTTATTATAATGTTATCGGAAGGCCCACGAAAAGGATGTAACGTGTGCGACCGAGCATTGCACGTTCTTGGACGCTGCACCACGACAACTCCCCATGTCACAAGGCAATCTCCATCAATGCTTTTCAGGCAAAAAACAAAACAAACAAACAAAAAATAACATTCCTGTTATTTTTTAGCTTCCTATATGTCGGATATCTGTCCCTCAGTTTTTTTTTTATATTCCACGAGGTCAGAAACCACTTCAAAGAGTGTCAATATTCTACTTTGGATAATACCCAGGAGATCGTAACCGGCGAGCTGAAATGCATTTCAGCAGAAGCCTTCCAGCACTGCTGCCAGCAATGGAAACAATGCTATACTATACTTAGAGAAACTTTCTTTTCAAGCAAACTACTTTGAAGGGAATAACCTTGATTATGTGTAAAACCAGAATTTATGGTTAAAAAATGTATCTCATCACTTTTACGCTACACCTCGTATTGTTATATTTCGGAAGTTTCAGGTTCGCGACACGTGCGTCCCCCTTGTTGGTAGCAGAGGTGTGCCCACTAAAAACACGATGATATAAAGAAAATAATTGCAAGACTATCTAAATACAAATACATTATACCTCCGCAGAAATTTATTTAATTACAGGCGCAGCTACTATTTCGGAGAATGTATTTAAATGCGAAAGACAAATACAGCGAGAGGTGTTTGATTCTTTCTAAATATTTTTTTTTATTTGCGGCTGCCATAGCTTTAAAATTTAGCAATAAAAAATAGTGTAAATAAGAAACAATACCCGAATTCGGTACGAAGAATCGAGTTTACATAGAACGGCAATCAAGTACATCTTATGCATAAAAACCTCAAAGAATTCACCACTAATATGGCCAGCATGGAGACTGAGCTGAGCCAAGTCAAACAGGAGTGAGAAGTAACCCGTCAGGAATGCAGGGCTTTAACGTGAGAATTAAAACGAGTCAAAATTGAGACCACCGCCCTTCAGCAAGAAGCCGACGCAAAAATTTCGAGATAAAGGGTATTCCAGCTGCACCGTCTGAACCAGTCATCACGCTCCTGAACAAGATTGTCGTAGGCATTGGAGCCGAGATAAGCCCGTGTGACATGGATGCAATTTACTGTGTGCCATTTAAAGATAAATAAAAACCCAAGATCGGGGAGGGGGGGGGGGACTTCTTCTCGCATACTGTCCGGAATAGATTTCTTCAGGCATCCAATAAACGAATGCTGAACACCTCCAAGTTGGGCTTTGAAAGGAATGAGCCGGCTTTCGTCAACGAGCACTTATGCATTTAGAACACAATCTTACATGGCAAGCCTGTGCAACTAAAATGTGAAAGAATATGGAAATTTACCTGCGTTTCGCAGGTTAAGATCCTCATGAGGAAGGCGACAAATTCATCAGTACTGCAGATGTCGTGCGAAAATGGTTTTACACAAGTTGTGTAGACAACGCTAGGTAAACTGTACTAACAAAAAAAAAAAAAAAAAAAAAAATCAGCTTTTTTTTTTTTTTTTTTTTTTTTAAGAAGAAGAATTTAATTAATGGTTTCCATACCAACAAATAACTTTTATTTATGTTTTACTGTCATTTTGAATGCAGACCTCCACCGGTCACGACATAATGGCGACCACAGAAACATGGCTGGAGGAAGGTGTAGCATGTGAACGTTCTTGAATATGTTATAGTTTCCCAGCCTAGGTATGGTATCATAAAGGGCGGTGGTTTTGCTCTCTTTTTAATTTTCACACTCGGCCTGCACTGTTGTACGTGCCCTGAAATCGAGTCATTGTATATTGAGTTAAAAGGTGGCATCATTATTGGTATCGTCTACAGACCACCGAATTTCCTCTTTCCAGTATTACCCAAAAATTACGATCCTTTGTAAACAGGCGATAATTTGTTGTGATTTTAACGTAGATTTGTCTAAGGAGGTACAAAACTATTATCTGCTTCCTATGTTATCGTAAAATTAAAAAAACAGCAACAATACGTTATAAAGAACTTACGATGCACACAAAAAATTACGAAGTAGCTTTAAAGACGATAAAAGAAGACATTTTTGAATTCATAGTATGATACCGAGAAAAAAAACCAAATTGTTGTAAAGTGTTCCTTAAGCATAAGTATAGTGCTTATAAGACCCGATGAAACAAATCCTAAATGTAAAAATCCACGAGCAGAATTCCAATAATTGCCATGCGTTCCGCTGAAATACACTGATAATGTCATAACTAGGGATGCAGGTAGACAAACATAATAAGTGAAATATTACGTTGAAGAAATTTGAAAAAAAAATAAAGATATTAATGGCGCAGATGTATCACATACGAGACCTAGTCCCTCGATCCACCCCAAAAATGATATACAATTTTATATTTTCTATATAATTCTATGAAATTCTTTATTCAATTTCAATATACAATTTTATATTTTCTATATAACTCGACACAATAATCACTTTAATATGAAATAAAAGTGTACAGACACTGTGCCAAATACCTAAAATTAAAAATAGAAGTCGACCCAAAAAAG